AGCGACTCCCATAAAGCTGTTTTGTTTATTTAAAAAAAACATGTAAAATGTTTAAACTGAGACATTTTACTATTTCATGAAAAGTATTAGCTCATTCTGAATTTGAAGTCATCAACATGCCTCAAAAACGTTTGAACAGAGGCAACGAAAGCCTGGAAAAGTAACCAGTACTAAAAAGAAACATCCGGAGGAACATTTTTACAATTAATTTGGTTAACTGGCAACAGATCAGTACTGTGATTGGTTAGAAATTCAAAAAACATCTCACACATTCATTTGTCTGCAAAAACTATGTCTACACATTGTGGAACAATATCAGAATTTTGTTTCTCCATGTAAAATTGCAAAGACTTGAATATCTTATCATGTATAGTACCTAACATTATCAAAAGGTTCAGAGACTCTAAGGGACTCTCCGTGTGCGAGGGAAAAGGCTGAAAATGGCCCGAGACAAAGTAGAAAATAGTTCTGAAGTAAAACGAATCAATCGTGGAAATACTTTTGGGAAAACAAGAGCCTGGGTCCTCCAGACTAAAAAATGTAAAAAGGCTTGTTTTCATCCTGCTGTTAAAAAGTCTGCATTTCTGATGGGACAGAGGTGCATTAATGCCAGTGGCACTGACAGCTTGCACATCTGGAAAGGCATCACCAGTGCCAGCAACACTGAAAGGTATAGTTGGGTCTTAGAGTAAAATATGCTCCCATTTGGATCTTTTTCAGGGAAGACCTTGAATATTTCAGCAGGACAATGCTAAACTGCAGGCAGCAGCTATTATAACAGCATGGCTCTGAACTGGCCTGCCTGTACTCCAGACCTGTGATCATTTGAAAATATTTGACACATCATGAAAAGAAAAATACAACAAAGAAGAACAAGGACTGTTGGGCAGCTAGAATCCTCTGTCTGACAAGAATGGGACAGAAATTAAGAAAGCACCTTAAACATGTGGTTATCCTAACTGGGCTTTCATTAAATTGGTGAAGATGTACAGGAAAGAACCTTAGACAGCAGCCGGGGGAAACAAAATCTCCTACATGGCAGACTGAGAAACCTAACGTCCCTGTGCACCTCGGGCAAAAACTCGTTCATCCCAAGGACAAAACACCCAAACACAAACTAAAGACCAACATGTATGTTATGCAGTGCAGTGATGAGTGCTTGGAGCGTTTACCCAGGAAAAACCAATCAGCCCACAACACAAGAGAGCCACCTCAACAGCTGGGAATCCACTGCGAATGACCGACGTTGAACAGAGGTTGAGGTTTATGACACCAGTTATCAGCCATCTACAATGCAGTCTTGAGATCCCTTCCCGGGTGTTTAAACGCCCACTCTCAATAGTTCACACAATGATGGCGATATCTTACACTGGTTTCACACTCACGTGATCAATACTGGGTCAATGACAATCAGGGGTTAAAAACCTGGGACTCTCTCTGGGTTGTTTTCGAACTGAAGAAGCTTTTTGGATGAGAGGAAACATCTTCACAAACCAAAAAGAAACTCGCTTGCCTTCTCTTCAGCTCTCGAGTCTACAAATTGTGTTTCGGCTTTGAGGGAATTCCCAGCAGCAGGATCAATGAAGAAATTATAACGCTTGTGCAGCACTTACAACCAATGACGATCATTATGATTATCAAAGTGAGCGTGTGATGGGGCTTCCATTGGCAGGCAGCAGGGATTAGAGGATTATTTCTCTCCCCTGTCTTTGGCCATCTCTCTATCGTTCTCGCTCCCTGGATTAGGTTTTATCTACAAAGTAATCGGGGCTTTTCTCTTGTCTGACAGGACTACAACTCCCACACTTTTACACACACAGACACACAGATACACACAGAGATTACATCGACACTGCACAGTCTACTGCGATATTGACTCAGAGACTTAAACCAGGCAGAAAGGGATGCGATAAAGCAGAAAAATCTGGATTTCCACAGGAATTATTTTGTATGAAATCTCTTCTTATCTCCGCACAAACAATATGAAACCACCTGAATGAGATTTCCTTCTCTGACGTTCTTTGCATTTGGTATAAACAAACACTCTGAGCAGTCAGATTTCATTCCAGGAGTGGTGAAAGATACCAAAATCCAAAGGTAAATATTGTATATATTCAACACCTATTGTAGAGAGCTGTTGTAGTAACAAAATACAGCTCAGACAACGAACCGGGGCTGGTACTGAGTGATCTTTTTGTTTTTCCTCCGGAAATTTTGAGCTGGCATATAAATTATTAATGGGCGCAGGATCATAGCTGTAAAGGACACCAAGGTCCTTTTTTGCATTACTTAAGGGAATTAGTGGGGCGGCGGGCGGTTTGCATACACAGTAGATATTACATCTATCTGTTATTTTAAGACAGCATGAAATGTTTTCAGGCTAAAGAAATCTTAAACTTTGGCCATTTATGGAGGATATATGGAAACATGAAATGTAATGTATGTTTTTATGTAAGACAAACAGCATTTTGAAACACCTACTGTATCCAGCAATGAAAACTATTAAAAAACAATAAAATAAGTTAAAATAAAATAACTTGTGCATTTGGGTAGTTTCTGGTTAAAAAAGATATTGATATTGCCATATTGAATTTTAATATGTGTCATTTCTGCAACATTTAAATATTTGTGTAATTTATTGCTTAAGAATGTATTATTATTATTTATTTTGGGGGCACAGTGATGATTTAGAGGTCTTAAAAACTAAAAAGTCATGCATTAAAAATGATACACTTGGCATCACTTTGCAGTCCTTTGAAAACTGGCGTTATATTTAATAATATCTGCGGTGAGGCGGTTGTTTTACATGCAGTCGGACATGTTAAAAGAGAACATCAGCATTACTGTGAAGCTTGTTTCACAGACTGAATATAACGTGAAGGGAGAAGAAGACCTCAGGCTCGGCTTTCTGTGTGCTTTGCTTTTCCAGCTGCGCAGCTACATCAGCCCCAATAAACATGTCAACACTGTGAATGTTGCTTCAGGGAGTCATTTATTGTTGCCTTTGTGTGCATGTTGTTGTGTCTCCGAACATAAATGTACTCATGAATTAGAATTACAAGGCTACATTTAACTTGACCTTTACTGTGCATATATCTGTGTTGTTGCTTTGGAGCCTATCTGATTTGCTCTTGTTCACATTTAGCATCGCACTTAATACTCATCGTTTTGAATATAAAGCGTTGGTAATAATAAATGTGCAGTATCACCAGCAGGTGTCGTGACATCTCCATGAAGCTGCGCTTTTATTTTGCTCTCAGACTTTTGGCAGCAAATTCAGACCACACCACCCTTTTCCGAAGTCTTTAAACACCAACATTAGACTAAGGCGCTTGAAACAGCCAATTTAGAGTTTCCTGTGGGCGCAGTGATTTACTGAAATGCGTGTAACAGACCCACGACAGGACACGTCCACACATTCATGCTTTCCAGCATTCTTTATTATTACGGTTGCCGTTTTCACACACAGGCTGCAGCTTCCACACTCCCCCACACACACACATCAACAACAATAACTGCAGCAGAACCCAGCACAGACCTTAAGCCGACCGGCGAGGCGTGATTGCGCATGCCGCTCAGGTGCGTCCGCCTCCCCTGCAGCGGCACTGCAGACCACGCCCCTACACAATGTACAAAAAGAGATGGAAAGACTGTTGGATGACGCATATTGATGTTTATTTAAACCCCAAATTTCATTTTCCCTTGTTTGACGTTCTGTTCTTGTGTGATTTGGCATCTCCAGACTTTCTTTTCTGTTTCCAGAACGGCCAGCCATCCCACTGAATCCTTTTCTGATGATTATTCAGTAAAGAGTGGATGGATCAACTGATGGGGCAGCTGCATCTCTCTGGTCCCGTGCCAGGTCTTTGCTGGATGTTTTCTTATTTCTTAAGGACTTTTAGAAATTGTTCATTTCTTTAGTCCTGCAATGTTGGACAAGGACGCACACTGTGCTGAGATTTTTTGAGTTTTCAGTTAATACCATGTTGGGAATCACCTTTTGCACAGAACTGTTCAAATAACCATGTTGTTAAAATTTTAAGCCTCTGGTTTTACATTTAAAATGTTCTGTTTTCTAAATGTTGGCAGAAATGAATATAGTGGCACGGTGACACAAAGGCAAACTACAATTTTTAGTGTCTGAGCTGTTTTGAATTTTAGTGCTGATTTACAGGAGGCAACAAGCAGTTTGGTGAGTTAAAGCACGAAACAGACCAGTGCCTTTCAAATGCTTAAACACCAGAACTGAAGCTAATAATAAAGAACTGGAAAGAACCCTTCAAATGGAATATCAGAAATGGGGGAAATAACTTGCAGAGCTGAAAACAAAGAGTATTAAAGGGCCATGACTTAAATGTATTATTTATGAGAAATTTATTTCCCATAGCTGCAGATCCTGGGAAAAGATGAAAAAAAGTTTTTTGTTTTTAGTTTAATGTTAAATATACTCCCCCTGTCTCATTTTGTCTGCTCTCTCCAGCTGACCTGTGCATATATTGTCTCTGTTTACACCTGCTGATTGTTGGTCCTCGTAACTATGTGAACCCCGAGCTCTGTAACTTCCTGCTTCGAGTTTCCCTTTAAATGCATAACACCTGTTTATTCCAGCATTTTGGTCCATAATAATCAGCTCATGCTGCCATCTTATGACATTTTGCTGTGAATTATTTACTTTTATTGGCAGTTGTTGTTTTTAGTTGCCATTTCCAGTGTCCAAAAATAAAAGTCATTATCCTTATCAGAGGCTGATAACTCCTTTAGCTGGAGATGAGGTTGTGGAAATTGCTTTGTGTTTACTTTTCGCTGATTATCTGATTGTCATATCCCAGAATGCCACTGCAGCAAGAGCCAGAGCGCTCTGTTCCAAGTTCATTATATAAGCTCCAATATTATATCCATTCATTTTCTTCTGCTTATTCAATTCAGGGTTGTCGGGAGGCTGGAGCCTATCCCAGCTGTCGTCGTGTGAGAGGTGGGGTACATCCAGGACGGGCTGCCAGTCTGACCTCACAGCAACATGATATTTACATCATAATCTGTATCTGCATGCTGCTTGTATGGTTGGCTTTCTGGTTCAAGAGATGATGGAAGAGCAGGAAAAAAATGGCTTCCTTTCCTCTCCACCATCAAGTTTTCTTAAGTTTTTATGCTTTATAATGGCACAAATGTACCTGAATAACAAAATCATTTTCATCCTCAGCTAACAATAAATGTCATTATTTTTAACTGAAGACAAGTCTTCGGTTTTATGTGCATTTCTTCTATATCATTGTAATAAATTTAATGTTTCTATTCTGCTCATAACCAGTTAATGCACAAGCCCTGTGCTGCAGAAAACTGTCTATTAGTTCTTCGGGAGATTCATATTTCATACACAAAGCACATTTACTTTCCTCCATGTAAAAAAATGATCAAACATTCATACTGCCACAGGCAAAGTGTTGTATCAAAAACATTAGCCCTTACACATACACAAGTTTAATTACTGTATATGTTATAATCCAGCAGATACACACATGCACACTGACAGACTCAAACTGTTAAAAATGCATCGTTTTGAAAAAAGGGCATCTTCAGGTTGCTGTATTAATGTGTCTGGGTTATTCAGGTTCATCTATTCTAAATATGGATCTTCGACATGTCGTTTGGGTGGAAACGCTGACAATCACACACTCATCACCACGGCTGAACTTGCTTGTCAGACACAAATTTTCCGTGAGGCTCTGTGGCTCCGGGTGGCAGCAGGGCCAGGTACACTGGAGTGACAGCACCCTCCTCTGGTGACTTGGGGGCTTTATCACCAGCCATGTCGGTGCGCACCCATCCTGGACAGCAGGCGTTCAGCAAGATCTGTTAAAAGAATAAAAGACACAGAAAATAAAAAGGAAACAAAGCAGAAATTAGGAGATAATGTTGTTGGCAACGTTAAAGATTTTAAATATTAGTTACCCCATCATTTGGTCTCTGCTTGGAAACTTGACGAGCAAGAATCATGGACAGGGCCTGAAAACACACACGTTCATAATCATAATCAAAGAAGTACGCCAATTAAGATTTAGAGCAGGTTCTTTACATGTTGATATGAACTTCATTTTCACATCAGCCGTACCGTCACCCCGACTTTAGATGTTCCATATGCTGAATCGGGCCAGCCGCCTTCTTTGTGTTTGCCTTTCTTGGCTTCGCTGACAAATTGCTGCATCAGTGCCACCAGCTCGTCCTCTGTGAGGTCCTCACTGCGGAAACGCTGCTGGAGCTCCGAGCTGCACTTGTTCAACGTAAGTGCACTGACAAAGCTGGAAACATTCACCACACGACCTGAAACACACACAGGGTAACAAACTCTTCATGTGCATCTCTCACAGCACATCAAGCAAACTCATCATCTTCCAGGAAAGATTACATGCGAGTTGGCTGTAGTGTGTCTGTATGTTTACTTATTGTCGTGCTTTGTTTTCCGCAAATTGTGATCACACATCCTGAGGGCAAAAAAAAGATATCGCTTTCCAATTATAGATAAAATGTTCAAGATGAGCCAACAGAGAACATTTTAGAACATCCACACTCATTAATATAGTCTGAATCAAAGCCAAACTTGCTCCTCTAATCAAACGCTGACCAAAGCTGTTTATTCAAGCAGCAGCGACGGGCACGACCGGCAGATTGGATCCAGCCTCGTGTTCGTACCTCCAGCTTTAACGATCGGCAGGAAGTGAGTCAACATGTCTCTGGTGGCAAAGAAGTTTGTGTTGAGGGTCACCTCGGCCTGGACATCAAATGGAGTTGTGTCTGCCGCTGAAAAAAAACCCACAGTTCACATGTTGTCACCTTATTCATGACAGCCTTAATCATTTATAGATCTTTTTATTTAATTAAAAAGAGGGTTTTTAATCAAATAAATTGTATTTGATTAAAAATCCTCTTTTTGTTCAGAGCTACAGGACAATTTTCAGAATGTTTACGTTATCTGACTCTTCTTCATCACGGTGGATGTTAGGGGCGAATATCTGATGGTTTTCAGGAAGACTACAACACATTAATTCACTTACATATGCACCATAGCATTTCTTATATTATTGTATAGCTGTAGTCACACATACACAGCAACCCTGAACTTTTAAAGACATCAATGATGGAAGTGCATGTGACAATGAAAGTGCAGCCCTGAGGGCTAAAACCTGAAGCTAATGCGGAGGTGTAAAAACCTGCATCTCCTCTGATGGCCGCTGGTGGTTTCTTCTAAAAGCAAGTCAGTCCCCACAGACTCCCACATTAAAATGCTCAACCTATTTTCCCTTCAGCCCAGCTGGGGGAATATGTGGCGTAGCTACTTTAAGTGACAGATCTGCTAGCTTCAGCTTGGCTTCACCTCAGCTAACTGGACTCCCTGAAGTGGGCCCCTTGAATATGTTTGTGGTGTTGGTGCCCTTTAGATCGGACCCATACAGGCTACAGTCACAGCCTGCTAACTTTAGCTGCTAACTTAAAACGTCACTCTTTGCTCCATATACGGTGAGTGTGATGAGCTACAAGCACAGCCAAACGGCTTTCTGATCATTTATGCAATGAAAAGGCCTAAAAGTGGGGGAAAGGAAATGTAGCACAGGAGGACAAATGGTTCTTGTTTATGGATACTTTAATATTTTTCAAATATTGACAAAGAATCAATTGAATAATAAATTAGTTTTAGCTTTTCAGGTCTCTAGTACAAAATCTGTGTGTGTCCATTTGACTTTACAGCCACCGACCGTCCTGCCTCCTGTGCCCACTTTGATTAGGATCCTTTCCAAAATGGACAAAAGGACAACTTTGGTTAATCTTGACTGCTGAAGTGTAAACTGTTTTAAATTCTAGATAAAGATTGATGCTCCAGCAGCATCAATCTTAGCAGTATTTTTCCAGTGTGTCTAAACAGAAGCCACAGCAGTATTAACATCCTGGCTTTCGATAGTGGGCAGGGTTGCATGCTTGAAGACCCCAGGGCCTCAGCTCTACATAGCATACCAGGTTAGTCAAAGGCAAGGAGCTAGACAAATGGTTGTGCAAGAGGCCAACAACCTCCTCACATAAACAACCTTCTGTTATAGAAACTGGGAGGAAAAAAAAAATCATCACACAACCTACTTTCTTATTCTAGATCGGTCGCAGCAAGTTGCAGCTTTATGTTTCACATGGGATAAAAAGAAATAGTGGTGGTGTCAGTAGTACTAGACGTTGTAATTGAACTTCCTGTGTATGAGGCTGTAGTGCACAATACAGTTAAAATCAATGTATATATCTAATTCTACCTTTGAATGCTATCCCAGCATTATTGATGAGAATGTCCACTCCGCCGTACTTCCCTTTAAAGTAAGCAGCAGCAGTTTTAATGCTGTCCAAGTCATTGATGTCTAGCTGGTGAAACATGGCCTTCAGCCCCTCAGAGGACAGAACCTTCACTGCGTCCTCACCACGCCCGCTGCAACACACACAAAGCGTTACTGTCTGCCTCAGAAAACCATGCTGGTTTATTGTTTCTCACTCAGCTTCCTAGTGTGGACAACAGCATGTGTGTGTGCTCTTTGCTCTTCTTGCTGTCTTAAAATAACTGCAATATGTAATCAAATCTGCTCCTAGATGCAATTACTTTACAAACTAACGTAAAAAATCTAAACTCATATATATCAAAAACAAATACCAACATGTGACCAGCAGATGTCGCCAATCTGCACTGAATTCAAAACTGTTAAACAGAAGGAGTCACTGTGATTCAGCACTTTTAATCTTTTCATCTTAATACCTACAATTGTTTTGTAATTTAGAGATAAATATTTGTTTTTAATTAGTTGTTTTCTGCAGATTTAAATTAATAATGATGTAACTTTATGTTTTCAAGGGGTAGAGGTTTTTTCATTGCCTTTTTTTAGGATTTTTAAGTGTTTGAAAAGGTTAGAGGCAAACATCAAATACATGGAAATAAACCAAAAATATCCTTACAGCAATAAAGTAAAACAGATGATTTTGCAGTAAAATCAGGTGCAAACATGAGTGTGGTTCAGGTGTTACCAGCTGTGGTGCTTACACATCTCTAGCAGTGAGGTAAACGTCTCCTTCAAACTGCTTGCAGAGAGCTCGGACGATGGCCAGGCCGATGCCCTTGTTACTACCTGTTACCACAGCAACCCTGGTTGACATGTCTGTTCACAAAGAGAGCAACATGTGAAGTAACATCTCAAACACACAAAGTATTAAACTCATCAATAGCTGACAAATAAACTCTATGAAAGGCCAGGGACGTCCACTCCTTCCAAATAACTGCTGAGTCACCTCCGCTAACACTAGGTAGGGCTAATGCAATAAAAGTACTTTTAAAGGATTTGCTAAGCTGCTTATAGAAACACATTTTTATTCCAGTTTAATAATACATATAAGTGTGGTTTACAGCTGTAGAACCAGCCCAACAGCAACAGTTTCAAACTAAAGCAATCATTTAAAGCATAGGTGTCAAACTCTGGCCCGCGTGCCAAATTTGGCCCGCAGCCTAATTACATTTGGCCTGCGAAGCCATACCAAATTACTATTAGAGCTGGCCTACTGGTATTATACAGCTAATATATATGTTGTTTAGTATTAAGCTTTGCTTGTTCCATATTCAGTTTTTCAGCAAAACGTGTTTGAGTCCATAAGAAAAGATTCATTCTTATATCTGGAGGAATAAATATATTTCAATAAATATTAACGTTAGCCCGCGACTTTGTCCCAGTTTTGAATTTTGGCCCACTGTGTATTTGAGTTTGACACCCCTGATTTAAAGAGTCACTGTAACGACTGTTACGACCTACAGGTGTGACACAAACTTCTGGCTAAATAAATTCCAATAATCCTGCATAAATATCATTCTAACAGGTTTTTAAGCAACCACACTCAGGCTGTCAGTACTTAAAGTCTTTGACTTTAGCTTTCAGAGATGACCTGCAGGATCTAGTTATATAAAGCTGGCTAACTCATACAAACATTAGTAGAAGGCCAAACTATGGACAAATTTGTAGTCTGAAAGCTCCAAACACATCTGGGCCACTTCTGACACTCACAGTCACACAGACGCCTGGACACAAGTGTTTGGTGTGTCAAGTTCTTTATTTCTTCAATACTAAAACATAACACAGAGGACATGTACATGTGTGTACACTGAACAGTTCTGGATGGGAAATGAATAATACAAATCAATACAGCTTCGATAAAACCTTTGAAGTATGTGATATTCAGAGGAAAATTAACCAGCCAGAGATTTGTCATATTTCATATAAGATCCATATTCTTCGTACTTTGTTTAATGTACCTGTCCTCATAGACACACCTTCCTGTTTCTGTCTCTCTCTGTCTTCCTCAATGCAGGAACTCCAGCAACACTTAAGGGAAGATGAACAACTTTAATAATTGACCAACGCGTTTCGGCTTGTGGCTTTCATCAGGGTCATGAAGTTGTGCCAGAATTTTTTGCTGTGCTTTCTCTCTGTCTGCCTGACAGTCTCCTCCTGGTAGTAACACTTCTCTCCCACTATCTGTATCACTGGTTCACAGTGCCGCTCCCAGGCGAGTGTTGAAACAATAATTAATGTGCAAATAGCGTTATGGGATCACACACATCAAAACACGGCCAAAGAATCCATCCAGCGGCGCACACACACACACACACACACACACACATACATACATACATACATACATACTTGCTAGGATCTAATGTTTAGGAGATAATAAATAGATAATTCGATAATAAAGTCCAGCCTATGTCTACGCCTGCAAAAGTAGATAAAACATTTGCATTTCTTTTTAGGGTTTTTCCATGTTGTTCTGACTTTTTCCTGTTTTGGGACATAGTTTCCTTTTTATGTTACTAAAAACATTTACATTATTCATCCTGTTATTAGTACTTTCTCAAATCCGGAGAGACAGAGCATCCCAGACTGAAATGCATAACACCAGATGATCTATCACACACGCAGACACACACAGTCATGCATCCATGACTGATCTAACCCATTCTGGGGTTTTGACGTTGTTACAAAAAATAAAGGTTTTCTTCTGCATTTTGTCACTGTGTAAAGACACTTGGTACAACATTAGGGGGCTTCTAGATGGACCACACACACATAGACACGAACGCACAATGATTATGTTTCAACAAAGTGGAAGCAAATTGCCATTAAAACCTAAAAGACCTCTCGTGTATTTTAATTAATTGCTCAGGCCACCTCACCTTTTTCATTCTAACACCACCCGACGGTCTGACATTAGAGCCACTCTGTCCTGCTATAACAACGGATTTTAACCGGGCAAGTTCTGCAAAATAACGACTTTTGTAACGTGATGAACTAACGTGGTGTGATATTAAAACAGGAAAAGTTTGTTGCCTAATTATCAAAACGACAAACTTTTAAATGGGGACTGGTTCTTCGCCCACACGGAAAAAAAACGCAGTTATATTAATCAGGCTGCAGACGTTTCTTACCTGCGGCTGAAGCTGTCGTCCTGACTGAAGATTACCACAGGAGTGAAGCGCTCGCAGAGGGACAAAGGAGGAGGGAGCACTGCGCAGTAATACCGCGCCTACACGGAAGACCCAGGTAACAGAGCCAGGTACATTTTTAATGCAAGATCAAGTTTAATCAGTTTTAAAAAAAAATATTCAAGAAATCAGAGTTTGAGTAATTCCTTATGAAGACCTTTGATTTGGAATTAAATTTGAAAAAATCTATTTCCTCCTCCATCTCTGAAATGTTTTGCATGGACAGTTAAGTAAACAAAACCAGTTCTTTTACTGATTCCAGTTATTCAGTTATTTCTGCTTTCACTGACACGTGTTAGCAGTGTAAACTCAACTAATTGACATTGTTTGTCCTTTAAACAAGACGCTTTAGATGGGGTAGCAATGTGGCTTTGAGGCAGCTCTTTTTATTTTTAATTAACAGTAATTTAGCGAGTTTATTAAATGTTTTGAATGGTTCCTGCTTTACTAAATGGGAATCAGAATGAAAGCTGTTTCATGTAGATATTAACAAAAGGATGTTCTCTTAAGATTCAGCAGTTTGTGTTTTGTGATCTTCAACCAACCAGGGGCAGAGTTTTAAGGGAACCACTGATAGAAAAACATGGGAATAAATCTAAACTTTGTCATTGCAGGACGTTATACATGCAGTGAAACCTGCTGTTTCTCTGTCATGCAGATTTTTGTTTTGTGGTGCTACAATCTGATAAGTCACCAACTGTTCAGACATGCTGTCAAAGGGTGTGTGTGTGTGCGCGCGCGCGCACGTGTTTGTGTGAATCTAAAATAAAGTTTATAGGGTATCAGGTCACACAGTGGAAGCTCTATTAAGTGAAAATAACTTCAAAGAATTATTTGCTCCACCTCACCTGCGTGCATGCGTCTGCACCTTAGCAGGAAATGAAAATGAAAGTGGTGTCTAGTTCCCATCGTCAGCTGCACATATCAAAAGGTCACACGAGTTGAACGTGCAAAGAGTCAGGGCACAGCACATCATCAAATTTTCATTCCACTGCTTTAAGCTAGCCCGTATTAATGACTGCATTGTCCTTAAAAACATACATCGCTGATATGCTGCACAATGCTTAGGCCTGTCGCTGCTGCCTCACCCATTTCTCTAATCATTTCACTTTTAAACATTCTTTCAAGTGAGTCCCACGCAGCGCAAAAGCAAGTTGTACAGGTTATGTGGAGGGGTGTGGAAGTTTAAACTAACGTATCTTTCTGTTAATCTGATGCATTTATAAAGATGAAGGCAAAACAGTGTTTGCTTTATCTCTGTGGCCTCTGGAGCTGCCATTCTGTGATATATATTCTTTTAGTTAAATATGTGAGTAAGAACCTGCTGATTAAACATCAACCATTGAATTATACAAACTAAAGAAACAGACACACCCAGTTACTCTCATGTGAACTTGACAGAGCTGAGTTAATCTTGATCCTGATTTCTGCAGCTGTACTCGAGTCAACCGTCAAGTCACGCAAATCAAAAAGTTCTCTGCGCGTCTAAACAAGCAGCCAGAGTTTGTTCTATTGATCCGATCACATTGTGCAGTTTGCAAACCAGCAAGCGTTTCTGCACATTTGACACTATCCTCTGCTGCAACTACACATTCAGCAAGAGGGTCAAAGACTGCATCTCTAGCACTACAGACATATAAAAGTATGAGGCTTAGAACAGAGTATGTGCTTTTGTCCAGCAAACAGCATTTTGTCAGGACAGGATGTTTATGTTTTAGCTTCCTTTGTGGTTCTGCTCTACATTGCCCCGATAAGCAAAACACCGACAGCATGGGTACAACGTGTGACCTATTCTACACCCCAGACAAGTTGCTTTAAAAACTGATTCACACCTCAAGCTCACTGCTTTTTGACAATTATTCACAATGTTGTAATTTTATATTGTATAAATAAAATTACATTGTAGCCATAAACCTATTATGTTCTTTCAAAAACATTTTCAACCTAAAGTCAATTTATTGTTTTAAAAAATCACAGTAAAGTTTTAATAACAAGCATTTTATTTTATTTTTTTAAATATCTTCATTCAGAAACAGCAAGTTTACTTTTCACATGTTAAAACACGTAAGAAAAAATATAGCCAAGTTTTGTTTTCATCAGTTGAACACTGTCAGTTATCAGAACATCATTTTTAAATTGATGGATTTAACCTAACAAAACATTTAAACTGGAAAACATTTTGGTTTTAGCTGTGTGATACGGGCGTTTGTAGATCTAATGTATCACACTATGGCCTTAAATATTACAAATTTCATTCTGGCAAGAAAAAGTATAAACTTATAAAATAACTACATTGTTTTTGTACATTATTTTTTTATGTCATTAGATATTCAACTTTCTATCACCATGGTTGAACTTCCTTATCGGAGACATACTTTCCATGAGGCTCAGTGGCTCCGGGGGCAAGCAGGGCCAGGTAGACCGGTGTTATGGCGCCCTCATCTGGTGACTTTGGGGCACCTGGCGCAGCGATCTCAGTGCGTACCCACCCTGGACAGCATGCATTAATCAAGATCTGTAAAAAAAAGAATAACAAGTATAAGAAGGGAGGCTTCAAAGACAGAACAAAATCTTTAAGAATACATAATATCATATTAAGTCCTGTTTAATTTATTTTCACACTGTTTTACGTTACAATATAAAGTGCCTTGAGACAACTGGTGTTGTGATTTGGCACTATATCAATAAAACATACTGGTCTGCTGCACAGCATAGAAGAATCAAGACAGTTGTTTATAATTTGATTTTAAGATCATAAATTTCCGTTACCCCATCTTTTGGTCTCTCCTTAGACAGATGACGAGCATGAATCATGGATAGTACCTTAAAACACAAACAAACATAATAAATGAGATTCAAGAATTTAAAACTGAAGCAAAAGCATTTTAATTGAAATTTGTCTTTGAAGTTTTCCAAATGTTTAGGGATCAAGTTGCCCTATCTGAATATTCCTCCATTTTTCAACATCCATCCCATCCATTTGCTTCTGCTTATCCTTTTCAGGGTCGCGGGGGGTGCTGGAGCCTACCCCAGCTGTCATAGGGCGAGAGGCGGGATACACCCTTGACAGGTTGGCAGTCTGTCGCAAGGCTAACACACAGGGACAGACAAACATTCACTCTTACGGGCAATTTAGATTAATCAATTAACCTACAGTATCCCCACAAACTGCATGTCTTTGGAAGGAAGCCGGAGTACCTGGGGAGAACCCACGGAAACATGGGGAGAACATGCACACTCCACACAGAAAGACCCCGGCCTGATGGTGGAATTGAACTCAGGACCTTCTTGCTGTGAGGTAACAGTGCTGACCACTGTGCCACTGTGCTCATTTATTTGAGCATATTTTGCAACCTCGTCAGGTAAAAATCTAAAGACAAAGTGTTCAGTTGTACCGTCACTCCAATTTTGGATACTGCATACGACATATCAGGCCAGCCGCCTTGCTTGTGTTCTCCTTTCTTGGCCTCATCAACAAATCGTTGCATCAGTGCCACCAGCTCGTCCTCTGTGATGTCCTCACTGTGGAAGCGTTGCTGGAGTTCTGGGCTGCACTGTTTCAAACCGCTGGCGCTAAGCATGCTGGAGACGTTCACCACACGGCCTACAACACATACAATTAATGCCATTCCTTCCTCTAGGTTTTATGGAAACCATCAGTAGTAATTACCTCTCACTGTTGCTCCAAAGCAACACCTAGCATGATGCTACTTCCACCATGCTTTACAGTTAGTCTGAATCTGAAGGAGTCTGAATATTTTTATTAAAATAAAACCCAAAAAAAACTTGAGCAGCAGTAGACTGGAATGAGCTCTGCATCTGTACCTCCAGCTTTGACGAGTGGCAAGAAGTGAGTCAACACGTCTCTGGTGGCAAAGAAGTTTGTCCTCAGGGTCACCTCTGCCTGGACACCAAATGGAGTTGTGTCTGACGCTAAAAGGAAAAGAGATAACGTGTTGAATCATCAATTTCAATTTATAGCTGCAGTTTCAGATTATTGTATATGTGGATCCAGTTCGACATCCATCAGTATATATTTATGATTCTACCTTTGAATGCTGTTCCAGCATTGTTGATGAGAATGTCCACTCCATCATACTTCCCTTTAAAGTAGGCAGCAGCGTTTTTAATGCTGTTCAAGTCATTGATGTCCAGCTGGTGGAACTTGGGTTTGAGTCCCTCTGAGTTCAGTCTTCACTGCTTCCTCACCCCGACCTCTGCAAAAGGACCAAAAACATTTCATTTACTGTTACTTTCAGTGCTCAGTGGGTTTTTTAACTCTCTCTTCCTTTCGATCTTACATTTCCATAAAGCCAAGCCAACTTTATTTCTAAAGAACTTTAAAAACAGCTAGCACTGACCAAAGTAAAGTGCTAATATTAAAATGTAAAGTAGAGTTTAATATTTATTCTAAGTGAAGGTTTTCCATAAAATGTTACTTTTTTTTATGCATGCCGATCAGAAATGCCACACATTCCCTTTCACAGTTATGCTGATGCCATCCATTGGATTGGATGTGTCTGTCCCACTGTTTAACTATCTGTATACATGATGTTAAAGACTAGTTAACGCAGAACTTTTATACCCTAAATGAAAATAAGACTGAAGTTATTGATTTTGGAAGTCATACCCCTTTGGATAAGTTAACAGATACCCTCGGTCCTCCTTCCTGTCATCATTCCCAGACTGTAAGAAATCTTGGAGTGTTTTTAGATAGAGCTTTTAAATTAGAGAGGCAAGCGTCCACAATTGTGTAGACCAATTTTTATCAGTTCAGTGAAATTGTCAAAGTGAAACTTATCTTCCTTCAGAAGACCTTGAAAAATGTATTCATGCCTGCATCTCCACTAGACTCGACTACTGCAGTTCTCTTTATTTGGGTCTTGAACATTCATCTCGCCATCACTTGCAGTTAGTCCAAAATGCTGCAGCATGTCTTTTAACAGGTGTCAGGAGGAATGATCACATCACTCCAGCTTTAGCAAATTTGCACTGGCTCCCTGTCCATTTGATTTTCAGATTATTTTACTTTTTACTTTCAAAGTTTTAA